AATTATTGAAAGCAAAGATAAATAAATCAATTTTTAAGCCTAATAAATTTTATTCTATAACTTTTTTGCTTTTAAATGATATATTAATCACTAAATTTGATGCAATATTTATGGAGTTATGATGAATTTAATATAGTTAAGTTTTTTTGTCACACACTGTATGTCGGAAAAAGTTGGGGATCATACCCACAGACGTGTTATCAGGTATGTCATACTTTTGTACTATCCTCTAAAATGTGTATTGGTAAACATTGGAAGCGTCTTGATAGAAATTAAAGAGAAAAACAGACCTGATACATATCAATATCAGATGCTTAATATAATTCTAAAAGGATTGATTATTACACTGACCTATAATAAATCACTATGCATGATTAACAATTTTTTGAAAAGTATCTATATATTTATTTAAATTCAGATTTTATTAAATAATATCATTTAAAATTAATATAGTTCAAAAGTAAAAAATTTAGAGAATAACATTTATCAAAAAATTATTTAAAAACTAACATCAAGTATGTGAACTTTTAGCATTGATAGTAGCCATAATTCATTGCAGCATAGTGGGAATTAAAACTGCGTATGACATTCAAAGGCACTTTTTCCATTCTTCTATCAAATCATCAATTAAATCCTTTCTGAAAATTGGAAGAGGCTCTCTTTTTCTAATTTGATATCAAAATGATCTATATATACTCAATTGGATCTAAATCAGGACTTTGACAACCCATCTCAAAACTGGATGATTTGCATCACCAATTAGTATAATGCGAAGTATGACCAATTCTTTTTTCTTTGCATTATTATAAATGATTTTTTTAATGATATGAATTGCATAATGGGATTCAAATAATATAAATATGAGCAGTATTAAATGTATTGGGGTTGACTAATAATTTATTAAGTGGCTGCCTTGCGATTTTATACTGTATTTTCCCGAAAATAAGCTACCCCGAAAGAAGATTCTCCCATTTTTCAATGTAAACTTAATAAATATAACCCCAAAAATAAGCTACCCCATCTCTTTGACCTCCAAAAATCGTGAAAAAAATAATAGCTTATTTTCGGTATATTTCTTATCTTGCGATTTGATTGGTTTACACCTTAAAAAATCATATGCACGGGAAATTTTTTCGCCAAGATATTATGCAAAAATAGTCCATGATTCAATTCACGTGATTTTACCAGTCAAGAAAACAGACCAACACATATGCTAAAAATATATGATCTGTAAAGTGTCCGATGACTTTTCTCAGCCGAGTGTTTTTTATTCTTTTTAATATTATATTATATAAATAATTTATAATTATATTCAATATATTATGATAAGTATAAATCTCAAGTTACTGAGATTTCTTCCAATTTTTCTATAAAGTAATTTTTCATTTTTTTCTTGATGTAGTAAAAAAAAAAATTGGTTGTGAACCGTGTACCAGACTAAACTGTCAATATCAAAGATTTTTTTACACACAAATATGCTATCTGAAACAGACATACATAGTCAAACTGGATGAAACGAATGTACTACGCAACGAATCTAGCTAAACTCGGGGACAGATAGTGAATTTGAGTTCCAGATCCATTTATAATAAAAATCTTGAATGAATTAATAAACTCGTGATATAATGAATTTTTGACAAATTTTTTACTAATAGACCCCGGACCATTCGTGCAGTTCAGTGGACATTTGCTGACAAATCATCCGATCGACTAATATGATTTTTTATGTTATCATTATGTAAGTAATTGCATAAAATTGATTGTTTCTGGTAAATTTATGGAGAAAGTACTCTTAAATCTCCAACGAATTCTTTGTAAGACATAAAATTAGTCCAAAACACAAAATGACTAACTATGCGATATTTATGTTACACAATGCAAACTTAGTATATAGATCATATCGGATAAACCTCTTGTTAAAACAAGTATTAAAAACAAGTATATCAATCACATCTTATGCTATGCACTTATTTAGGTATTTATGGATGTCGAAAGCACAATATAATTAAAACTACATGATGTAACTTTTTTTTGATAAAAATTCTTTTGGAAACGACGAATTTAAAATGATTTTTCGACTAAATTAGAATAATCTCTGCAAAAGAACCGATTTTAAGAAAAAGGTATGTTGTAGTTACCGTATTTTTCCGAAAATAAGATACTATTTTTTTCACGATTTTTGGAGTCAAAGAGATGGGGTAGCTTATTTTTGGGGTTATATTTATTAAGTTTACATATACTTTTTTACATCTGAGTTTGATTGAAAATAGGGGAGTAGCTTCTTTCGGGGGTAGCTTATTTTCGGGAAAATACAGTAAATTTGATATTAGTATTGGAGGAGAACAAGTTACTTTGTATGACTCGAACTAAGTTTATTGTATTGAAAAATTTTCATGCATCAAATCATGTCGTTTTTCATTGCACAGTTTTGTAAGTCCAGTTGACAATATTGCATGAACATGTATTAGCTTAGTTCCCATCATGCTAATAGTAACTTATGATATTTAATACAAATCTCTCTTTGGTGCCTTTAATTACTTATGCTGGGGAGGTTTTACTAGAAAATGCCATAAGAATTCTAAAAGGGGAAACGAGAAAAGACAGTTCTCGATGCCACGTAACGATAATCGGATTTCAAATACATGTGATAAAGACACAGCAATATACCACGTTTTTTAATCCGAAAGTCACAAAAACGAGTCACTTGATAAACGACGATTAAGGTTCAATTGCGCGAACACACACACAGCAGGAAGATCCATTATTTTTTAACAATATAAGTGGTGTAAATCACAAATTCAGAACTCCGAAGATTTATTAGCATCAGATAAACGAGCAAAATAATTCCCAGACTAGTAAAAATCATTATCATGATCACTCTTTGTTCTCTTGCGACATATAATTAGGAGGCGTTGCCCATTGTTTGGTTTTCTCCCATTGTTATAAATTATTACATTTCTCCACTACTAAAAATTCAATTGACAAAGCCACTTTGAACGTTATTAAGTTCAAACGATTGACTCCGTTGCCGTTATTTTCCTTTCGCTCTTTTAAACTTTCTCTCCTTAAACATATCAATTGTCGACCTCGAAATCTCAACCTTTTCGTATAATCATCGCAGTTATAATCATAAAAAGACGTGCTCATCATTATCACACTTCTTTTCCTTTTCAAATAAATTGTAATAACATAAGATGGACGAGGAAATAAAAAAGCATTGTAGTTTGTTAATGTTTGATATGCCTCCCCCGACTCCACAAAAAGACCGCTCTTTAATGATTGATTTCACTAGTTCTCTAGAGAACAGTAATATTAGAAGTGACAATAATTTTGTCTTTACTTCCTTTGTCGAGCCAATTAAGGTTAAGCGCTCATTAAAGAAAACAAAAAAAAATAATGACGACGACTATGGTGACCGCAACAAAAATATATTAAACCTTCCAATTACAAGTCCCCTGAATAATTTTATCGATGAAACCAAACAAACACAATTATCCGAGAAAAAACATATACGTCGGCCACCTAACGCATTCATTCTATATCGTCAAGCTAAACAGCCGGAACTTACGGCAGAAATGGGGCATATGCCAAATACGGAAATCTCAAGGATTTTATCCGTTAAATGGGCCAACGAACCAGAAAAAGAAAAATTACATTGGCAAAAACAAGCGGATAAGATGAAAATGGAGCATGCTCTAGCCAATCCTGGCTACGTTTATCGACCAAGTCCGAGAAAATCTCCATTTAAAACGGAAAACAAAAAAGGAAATCGAGGTACAAAGAAAAAACGTAAATCTCAATCAACATGTGAGCAGCCGGTTTCCAATTTCATTAATTCTTCCATTGTCAATGCTGGGGAGATTATTAATGTGGTCAGCAGTAGCGAAGAAAGTTCCTTACAATCACCTTTCTTTGTTGAATCAAATAATTTTCATCCCGTATTCTATGATTCTAACAATCTCACTCCTCAACCATATTTTTCAAATAACGATGGTTTAATTCCAAACCAATTGATAAATATAAATGAAGATGAAATAACGGCAAAATTAGATGCCACCTTCTTTTTTAATCCCAATTTTTCACAAAATTGGCATTCACAAGATCCGAATCATTTATGTGATATGCCAATTCAACAACAATGTAATTTTCTTTATTACAGTTATTCTCCCGAGAATAATAATCTCCAAACAGCCGCTCAGTCAATGGATTATTAAATTTTTTTAAAATTTAATAATATAATTCTTTTATTCTATATTTTTTATATTTTTATATATTCTTTATCCCGTCATTAGTTTAAAGTTTTTTTTTTTTAGAAACAGGCCTGTTGGAAATTAAGACTTGATAATAAGATCTTTTTCTTAAGTTTTAAAATATAATAAGCAACTTTTCTTTTCATATGTTAATGAATAAACCTTTCGACGATTGCTTGTTTCAAAACTCCTTTCGTCAAACTTACGCGTAAACACAACACATGACTGAGAATAAGATTTGTAAATAAAATGTTAATTTCAGCTGGAATTAAAATTGATTGTGGTTGTGTATTACAATGAGCAATAAAAACAAAATCAGCTGATCTGATTTTTTATAAACTCGTAGTTCCCTGAATTGTAGTGGGCGTCAATTTAATGACGCTTCTTTGAATCGTGCTACAAATAAACTACGCCGAGTAAAGAATGGACGAATCGCGAAGTGGAAAAATTTTACATTGTAAGCAGCGGAAGCAGTACACTACACATTCCGAGAAAAATATGCGTCAGTAAAATGCAAGCAAGATCTCATTGTCATAGTAATCTTTGATTTATCTATGATTCTTTTGTGTTAAGTAAGACGCAATTAAACCGTCGAGTTAAACCATTTTCTTTAACAAACATTACGCTTGGAAATCAATTGGTACCGTTTAGCACATTGTACTTAAGTAATCATGTAAGAAATGCATTCATTTAATATACTAAAATGTTAGATGAATAAACAAAGTTTAAAAAAACAAGTAAAATATCTTTGTCGCTCTAGACAATACTAAAGCAAAATTTAGAAAGATGCCATCACCTTTTCATGATCGAACCTGTTTCTACTGGATTTTTAAGAATAGAATATATTTGATTTGTTTCAAATAACTTTATAAATCACATAAAACTAATTTTTTGCAGCACACATGTCGCTATCCGAATTTCAATTAGTTCACTTCCCATTCGAGACAACTGCAAGCTTCGATTAAATCGTGATAAGGATAAATAAGGAAGGGAAACAGTTTTTCTGTTTTATTGATATCGAACTAAACTTTATAATTTTTAACTTCTAACCAAAAACATTCCGTTTGATGCAAGGCGTTTTTTTTGCGTAATAAAATGCCTAGAATGCTAACAACTTGTTTCCTCTTTTGGATCTATTAAACTTATAAGATTTTCATTAAAAATAATTACGCGAGCTTTTCACTTTTAAACGAACCAATATTAATTCAATAAGCGGAATTAAATGTCTCCTTTAGGAAGGGCTATTATTTGCAAACAAACACGGCATTTAATTTCTAAATACAATTATCGAATTGCAAAAAACATTAATCGAACGGATAAATCATAAATTGGCACGTAATTCCCGATCGTCAAAAAAAAGACGCAGTTTCTGCATAATTATACGTTTACAAATGACACAATCGGCATTTGTGCATAATCTGAGATTTCCTATCATTATACACGATTTTAATTTAACAATTGATGAAAAAATATATTTAATCATGAGATTCATAAGGACAGTTACACCAATCTAAAAGCATACCCTAATGATGCTAGTTTCGAGAATATGCATTAAAGTTTAATGCAGTAGGAGAAGTGTCTTTCACACTTCTCTTACTGCATATTCTTGAAACTTGATTAAAGAGTGCGCTTTTAGAGGGATGTGACTGTAACTAATTTATTTCTGTAAATTCGCGTGTTAGGGTTATATCAGAAACATGTACTTGAATTTGCGTTCTCGCTTTAGCATTATTATGCTACAGCATTTAGTCTTAAAATTTAGTGATACATCCATTTGGAAATTACTAGTCATATATAGTTTTTTCTTTAGTGAAAACATTGTAGAATTGAATTACATTATTCAAACCGTAAAATTTGATGTAAAAAAGACTAATCGCGTAAAGCTGGCCAGCGTTGACATATTTTATAAACTCGCCAATCATTAGCCTAGCATGACGATGCAAACATAATTTAAATAATTTTAATCATTAATTCTTCAAATGGAATACATAAAGATCCTCAATACTCAATAATTCTTAGGGAAATAATTTACAACTCTAAGAATAAAATTGCTATATTGTATTAAAAAAAAGAAATACTAATTACTTGCAAAACACTTTTCTAAGTTTGTCAAAATTCAATTAATTTATCCATCAATTTATGTTAAATAGAGCATTCTAAAAGCATGCATCAATTGATTTAAATTATCGATAAGAACCAATAATGGGAACAAATCAAGAATGACCACGTGCATAACGTTAATCAAATCGAGTATACGTCACGTGGATACAAATGATGTTGAAAGCCCAATATTATTTATTAAGTGTAACTGCCTAAAAAAGCAAACTATGAATAAAAGATTGTATAATGTCTCACAATTTCATTATTTATTGTAAATGGTGGTTCGGCTCTCTTTATAGTCGGATATTCAATATTGTTCCAGTATATCATTTTTGTAAATACAACTTAAGTTTTATATAATAGTATTATTACTTCTCATTACAAAAAAATTTGATTATAGAACAGCATTACGAGCATTTTGTATATTTAAGAACCGCATCATTTATTTTCTTACAATTGCGGAATCTCATTGACAGTGGATTTTCTATATTGTCATCTTATTTATATCAATTGTTTTAACTTACGCGAACATTTGGAGAATATTCACATTTACTTTATAGCTTAATCTCTCGAAAGGATGGAAATCACACGTATCCTCAAATTATAGGGAGTACTTCGAACACCGATCCAATACTCAAATAATTTGATTCAAGCTCCGATCGGTTTCGTTTGATCCAAATCCGAACCATCGGACCAGTTTCGGATTGCAAATTTGTAATCCAGAATTATTGATACTCAATCGAATTTTTTATTTTAAACAAATATTTTTAAAAAATAATTATTATTTAAATAATAAAAAAATATTTTATATACTATATATATAGTAATTTTCATAATTATGAAACCAAGAGATTAATTTTATTAATAAAATCAATCCTCTAATTCATAATTATGGGAATTACTATATATTTTAATATTTAAAAATAAAAAAACAATATAATTTAATAAAAAATCTTAGTAAATATCTCTTGTAAACTTGAATTTAAGTTCAAATAAATTTTAAAAATTTATTTTTTCAAATCTATTACAAAAAATTTTTAATATAAAGAGAAACATAATTAAAATTATTTTTTATATGACATTTTTATGAAACTTTTTACATATAAAATTTTTCTAATCATTTTTCTAAATTAATTTTTAATCTAAAAATTAATTAAAAAAATAATACTAAACTTTTTTTTGTAAATATTAATATAAATTTTTATATTATTTGAATAATTTCTAATAAATTTTCAATTCGATTTTTTTTGTTCACAGTCATCCCTCTATAGTCACAGGGATCGGGATCATAGTGATTAGTGACTGTAAAGATTTGCGACTATATAGGGGGTTTTTTTTACTACAATGATTTAGTAAAGGGACCTAAAGAATATTAATAAAAATGTAATTATAACTATACAATTATAATAAGTTGCAAATTCACTGTCATACAATCATATATAGATGTGAAATAATTTAAGGATCGGTGTAAAGGAACCATCGTAGTGTTTTTATTTTAACTCTATAAAGTCATTTTCATATTTTCCATAGCTTGATCACAATATGCGCATTGACATTATTGTATGATCGTTGGAAGTTAAAACGATGACACTACGCAGTACATTGCATAAGAGAATGCCCCCTTGTTCAACTTTAAAAGTTGGTCTCCCTAATACAGCGTAATTTAATAAAAGTAGTGGTAGATATCTTTTCCAAAAATCGAATTCTTTGTATGTGAAATACATTTCTTATTACGCCAAACAAACTTTTACGTTATACCCTCCAAGAACATAATGAGTGATCCCTCCACACCGCAAAAAACTCCAGTTGCGTTCGAAGTCGATATCAAAGAAAACCCGGATGCCACGCCGCCAGAACACATTGTTAAACGTTTTGAGGTTGGAGAGAAAAGGTTTGTAATAGAGTAATCGACGCGTCGTTGTCTTTGTATCGCTTTTGGTAGCTTTGCTCAAAAATTACAAGAGCTCAAATTCTTGAGCATGGAATACACTTCTTCTTTACACGTGTTGTGTTTTGTATATGTGCAAATTTTCGTATGTCTTAAAGGTGAACATGACGCGTAAACTAATACATATTGGGGGCGATTTCTAAACCTCCAATAAAGACGCGTCTTCCTTTATAACTTAAGACGTGTTTATTTAATTTTTAAAAAACTCGAATTAAAATAATGAATAGTCTCACCCAAGAGGAAATAGAAGCAAAGCTTCACGCAGCCGAAGAAAGAAAAAAGGTAATAAAAAGAATCCCATTAATTCCGTGAGAAACCGTAAACTCGTGTGTTCAATCAATTTCTTTGCTTTAATCATGTTGCAGCAAAGTGAAGCTGAGCGAATCTCCAAAGCTGCGGCTGATGTTGCTCATGTCAAAGCCGTCTCTGAACAACAACGTCGTATATCTGAAGAACACAAAGCCGAAACATTAGAGAAAATGTAAGTATCAATCGTTTACGATACTATGTCCACATCTTCATATATGCATTATTTTAGATATACTTAAGGTATACCTAAAAATTTTAATAGACAAGAAAGATTAGATAAGGCCGAGAAAAGAAGACAGCAACAGGAGGCTGAAAAAATCGAGACCGAGAAGAAAAGACACACGACAGAGCAAGAGCCAAAAGTGTATGTTATCTTTTTTATCCTATTTGCTTTGTGTTTGCACTGTGTTGTTTCTTTTTTTTGTACAAATTCTTGATACTAGATCTCTCGTGTTTGTACGTGTATATGCAATATGCGTGTGCTTATGTGTGTCATCGTGTTTATGTGATTTACTCGAGTCGATATGTCAAGCTCCAAAAGGAGATTAATTTCACTGGAAAACGCACTGAACAGTGCGATTTAGTCGCAGCGAGTTTAGTCTCCAACTCTTCGAGTGCACTACTTTGATAACAGGAATTTCAACATAGATGATGTTCCCCATAAATAGACAGAGAAAAACGGACGTATGTAAGAAAGAGTTTTGATTAAAGAAAGCTAAGCGAGTATCCAAAGGCAAAAAAGATGCAAAGCGAATGCAAGACAAAACAACAAAATAACAATAATGAATAAATATATATATAAGAGAAAGAATATTAACATAGCAGGCAGTTTGAACGCGTCAATGCACCAAACAAGTCGATGAAGGAGTTCTTCGTCCGTCGATCGGATACTGCTGCAGAACTTACATTTGAGAATTTGTGCGTGTCTTTCAATATTCTAGATCCAAATTTTATTTTGAGTTTCCCTTTTTTCACAAAGAAAAGCAGAAAGTAAACAAATCCAAAGGCCATAGGAAAAGCAGCCCGAGGCGGACAACGAATGCAAGGTGTAAGCAACCTTTAGCCACCACATATACACGCCTTGATTGCTTGCTAATAATCAATTTGATATTTTAACACCCCTTTTCTATCGAGATTTATAAATAGCAATTTTCATAAACACGATGATATACTTATCAAGCGTATACGCATATACATAAACAAATAAACAAGATTAAACGACCTAACAAATATGTTAATAATTTTGTATGGTCCGAGAGTCAGATGCACATACATGCATTATATTACTTTTCTAAACAAAAATTTCTTGTTTTTTATTTTTTTATTTCTTCATATATCCAAATATACATATAAAATAAAGATCTGCTGAGGGGATTCAAGCAAAACTCGATGCCGCCGAAGAAAAACGAAAGGTATTTCTTATTTTTCAACTCGTTACAAATATAATAATTGACGCAAGCATTTCCATCATCATCCAACGAACCACTTTTTTAAACAAGCAACTTTTATAATAAAAAATAGCAACTAGAGCAAGAAAGAGTTCAAAAAGCGGCACATGAAGTAGCCCACGCGAAACAAGTTGCCGAAGAACAACGTCATGCAACGGAAGCTGCATTAAAAGAACAAGCGGAAAAGGTGAGTGTCATTGTTTCATTTTTTTTTTATGATGTTGATTTGGTTGATGATCTGTCTAATTGCCTTGATCTCTTCTCTTAAAGCTTCGTGAAAAACAAGAAAAAGCAGAAAAAAATCGTCAAGGAGAAAAGAAAGCAAATACAGAATAAATTCATATTCATCTTCGTAATTATTAAATTATATACAATCAGTCAGTTACATTTCTAGTAAATTCCATTGTTAGATAACTTATTTATTATCGATTTTAACAGTAAGAAAATATATAACAGATGTCTAAAAATTAACTTACTAAGAATTGCCAGCTCAATAGAAGTTAAAACCAACAGCTGTTAAGTGCAAAAAAAGCCAGAATGAATTTATCACTAAATTATAATTATGTACCCAGAAAGATCGAATCTCATTAAAATTCGCAAATCCAGCTGAATTCATGAATTGATCATGGACGCTCTAAGATCTGGCAATTTAGCCAGATCGTAATCATATCCTTATTTACAAATATTGCAAGCTTCGAAAAACTTGATCGTTAAGTCTTTTAAGCAAAAAACCTAAAAGAGCTTTAGCTTCCAGTTTGTTTCGAAACCAGTTCAAGAAGCTAACAAGTGTTAGAAATACAGGATGCCCTGATATCTTGCCGAGATCATCGAAAATAGTAGCATCAGAATATAGAATAATCGACAATGCACGGTTTAATGGCGGAAGTGTCTTTTCCATTATATATAGGTGGTAGTGGTCGGGTAGATATCCCTTGGCCACTCGCTCGAATTGGTTGTGATGGCTGTATGTATCCAAGATTCGGCCACTCATTGTTTCGTTCATTCGTCACGAGAGCAAATAAAAAAATTATATATGTATATTAGTAAAATTATACATAAAAATTTTCTAAATTATGTTTTGTTTTTATATTGTGCTGGTAATCCTCTTTTTGCAGGCGCTAAATCTTATAATAGATGGAATAAATATTCAGTCTTGTGAGAGGATTCGTTTGTAGGGCGGGGAGTAGTAGTAACGGATATAACGGATAACGGACAACGATGACCGTCGGATCTCGCGAAGGCACTCGTGATAGAGCTCGCGACGGTTCTTGCAAAACCCACTTGTGACGGTACGATCGTAAAAATATTTTCCTAATTTCTTTGTTTTTAACCCAGTTTCCTTAAACTTAATGAAAAAATAATTTTCAGTTTAAAATATATTTATAATCATCGAGATCATCTGCAATAACAAGTTTATCTTTTGGATGTCGCTGAAATATTTCTGGAATTTCATAATCCTCTCGTGGTTTCTTCTGAGCTTTTATTTGTTGTTCATGCACATGTCCTATTTTAGTCCATAAACGTCGACAATGATGCCGGAATGTTTTTCTAAAATTAATTATGATTTCGCTTTTTTACATTAAAAGGTAGACTTTCTACTTTTTTTCTTGCTATTTTGAACCACTTCCCGATGTCGCGACGGTGCTTGCGACGACACTCGAGAGACTGTGGTACTTCCGTTTGTATTTGTAATGCGAAAACAGATGCATGACATAAGAGGGACAAATTTGTAATTAATATGTTACGTAAAGGCAAAAGGGTCTCGAAGGCACTCGTAACGGTGTTTCAGGAATTTCTGCAAACAGATAGTCGGAACTTTTTACATCTGATGATTCAACAATTTTGTTGTATGTGTGTGATCAGCTCGTTTCTACTTTTTATAAACAATTTTCATTTGATGGTATTTCTCACGCCACCAAGTTAGAAGTTGTTTAATCCTTGTCTTGACCGCAAATTATTATTATTTTTTTTTGGCCCTCCTACTCACCTTTTAAACTATTAATATCTTTATAATTTTGTAGTTAGAGAAATTAGTTGCCGAAATTTGTATCCAGTAGCAGAGTTGGGGTTATTTATTTTAGTTTTTTTGCGCAGTGATGATTGTTTGGGTTTTGAACAAAAATAGTCACATGTAATACATAGTTGCGAAAATTCCAAAATAGGGAAATTCGATTCAATTTTTATTGTCAACTGCGCTCTACACCACACTGCCAGTTGCAACTCTATCCCAAAACACAACTCGACAAGAGGATAAAAAGATTTGGTGCAGTTCATACGTTGAGTTATCCCTGAGCCGTATTTCGTAAAACATGAGTGCCACAGCTTCCGATATTATGCAACCCACAACAATGTCGAATAGCGGCGAAGTCAACGACGGTAACAGCGCGTTGTCTGAAAACGTTCGCCAACTTCACCAACCAACTATAAACGCGGTTGCCAGTGTAAACGGTCACTATGAACATCGGCCCACCTCTCACCCCGCGATCAATGTAAATGCAAAGATGAACAGAAATATCCATCTGTTAGCTGCAAAATCAATTCAACCACCACCACCACCACCACCACCAACAGGCAAAACCCAGCTGGTTCCTACCAACCATCCCTTACCCTTTTTCGTCCCGAAATATAACGATTTGATCTGTATCCACATGTATAATCATGGCTTTATTGGAGGTCTTTACTCTGATGTATCTCTTCAAGTCAACCACCCTAAATTTCATCAATTTTATCGCCTCCACGCTATCAACCTTGCTCGATCTCCGATGATACGCAATTTACTGACCAACTCTGCTTCAAAAGAAATCTCTCTCAATCTGAATGACACGAATATTACCTCTGAAGGTCTTGGAATCTGTTTCGCCCACATGTACGCGTCCTCCCTTCACTGGATTAACCCAATCAATGTCGAGAGTGTCTTTGCGGCGGCGTATAATCTTGGATTGGCCGATATTTGCACTGTTGCAGTTGAGATTATGAAGAATGACATCTCTATCAATACAGTTGACTCTTACATGAAGTTCTTTCAACATTACAAAGAATATGCGAAACCAATTGAAGATCTCTGCTATGTATTCCTCATCAGAAAACTTCCCAAATTGTTGCAATCGTTTAAACCTAACCCCAACAACGACAATCACCTCGATGATGGACAAAACGTTTGTATATTAAAATCGGGTACCGGATATTGCCACAACCATGGATACCATGAACTGCTCAATATCTATGCCAAATTATCCTTCGCCTGGATCAAACGCATTCTTGAATCGAAAAATCTCGATGTAACCACCAATATCAGATACAAGCTCGCTAAAGACCTCATCTGGAAAAGAAAGGAACTCAAGATCACTACTAATAACGAATTCGTATACATGTCATTCGGCACTTCACATCATCAAAATATTACTATTGTCGAGAAAACCCGAGAGATACAAAAAGAGTCCCGGCGGGTTTTATTCAAGGTTTTCCGAAAATAAAACTTTGGTGGATATATGTGTTTTGGTCTTGGTGATTCAGTTTGATGATATCTCTAAAAGTACAAAATATTTCCTTAATCTTCAGCATTTTTATCATTATTAAGCAAATAATCATGTAATGAACATTAAAAATTAAAAATTTCATCTGCTAATATAATCATAGCATTTTCTTAAGTCAAACCTAATTTGAAAATAGTTATTTGAGAATTTGCGCATAAAATTTGCTTTGCAAATAAAAATAATAATATAACCAAATCAACTAGTAATAATATGATTTGGTTTATTTTTCCTATTAATTTGAAGAAATTCTTTAAAAATGAACTTGTAAAAATCCTCATAAATGCCATAACAAAGTAAAATAGATAAATTTTATATCAATTGGAAATTTTGGTGCCTCGTTGCACGCATATATAGATTATTAATGACTATCATCACCTTTTAACATGGCCGAGATTGAATGAAGTTCCAAAATAAGAAGTGTAGATTTTTTTTGTGATGGACAGAGTTTGAACATTCTAATAAATAGCAAAGATAGATCAAAAGATAGAATGATCAAAATGTCTAATGATTGTAAACATCCGCTCGTTGGTATTGGTGTGTTTGTTATCCGTGGGGACAAATTTTTGATTGGGAAACGAAAAGGATCACATGGATCGGGTAAAGTATCTATTGCTTTTTTTTCAGTGTATACATTCTGTATGATTTATTTCGTCATCATGCAAATTTTCATCTATTAAAAGGGACATGGCAACTTCCCGGAGGTATTTATTTATTTGTATACGTACAATAAAGAGCAACTCAATAAATCTTTTCAAAATTCAGGTAAGTTAGATTTCAGCGAGTCATTCGAAAGATGCGCGGAAAGTAAGTATGCGTCACGTTCCTATTATCTTAGATTCTTTTAAACTACTATACTCATGATTCCCTCTCAGGAGAAGTTTTCGAAGAAACAAATCTCAAGATCAAAGATATCAAATACCACTTCGTCACGAACGACTTTTTTCTCAATGAAAATAAACATTACGTGACTATTTTCATGTGCGCAAAAGTTGCAGATTCAAATGTTGAGGCTTTGGTAATTTCATGGATTAAAAGAACCCTATAATATATTTTTTTTGAAAAATCATCACTTGATATTAATATTAACAATAAAATAAACTTTGTTAAAGGTGATGGAGCCAAATAAATGTGAAACATGGGAATGGATCACGTGGCAAGAGTTTATTCGTGGGGGAAATTCGGGTAAAGAAGGGAATGTAAAGAATAAATATCGTCCAATGTTCTTGCCAATTGAACATTACTTTAAGACTAGGGGAGAAAATGGTCCATTTTAAAGAGATGTAAAGATTGAGTGGCTTTCATGTGACGGGGTATAATTATTAATTAATTGTGTTCTCACATGTACAACAAACTGAATATTAAAGTTTGATAGTAATTAAATTAGTAGAAACCAGAGTGACAAGATTAGAAAATACAACAATTCAATACAGAGAAGCCAAATATTTCTGTATTTACTTTTTATTGTGACCAAATTATCGATTAGTGACGACTAATTCCAAAAACTTTATAATTGATAATAGATATTTGTGAGCAAAGATGATGTAAAAAAAAAAGAAATTGAAAATTACGATATATTCGAAATACATCAAATAAATCTTTACCTGTTCGTAATTGATTAAAATCCAGCCATCATTATCGGTATCGTAACGACGGAATGCATCTGTGAGCGTTTTAATAGTGACACAGGATTGCTAAGAAAAAAAGAAATAAAAGAAAATTTAGAAGACGCCATTAATCAAACAACTCAAAGAAACCATATGTCATAAAAAAAAAATACTCACCACAAAGTTATCAAAAGTAACGTCTCCCTTTCCTGCATTTTGTTTTCCCCCTTAAATCAGTTAATATATGACCATAGACACACATAATATATAACAAATAATAATAATCACAAAAGTAGAAAGGCGCCATGCGCCTGTTCTCAGTATATAAAAAGAATACACCTTTTTTTGACTGATTAACTGACGAACTGCTAACCTCCACTCATAATAAACACTAGAAAAAGAAACTCACCATATTTGTCATATTTCTTGATCAAAAGATTAACAAAGTTGTCACTCAGATTATATCCAAATGTTCTTAGCGCCGTTTTCAATTCGCTAAAGTTGATAGTGCCTGAGTTGTCTGCATCAAAGGTTTGGAAACATTTTTTCCAGTCTTCAATGTATCGCCAGAGACCAGCAAACTCATTAAAAGTGATGGTGCCAGTATTATCTTTATTCATTAAAAAAATTTAAGAGATGAGCATGGAAAGATAATACTCTTTCATTCATTTATTGATGAAACATAATAATGTATGCATTCATGAATAAAATAAAAAGGAACTGAATTGAATATGGAAATAGAAACTTTACCGGTATCGAACATATTCATCATTAAACGCACAGTTTCTATGTTGAACGGACTCCAATCACCTAAAATACATTTTCCAGAAAAAATAAAAAGATCAAAATAATTTCTCAATAAAATTCAGCAATTTTTTTAAAAAAAAAATACCATTAATTAACGCTCTCTGTAATTCTTCCGTGGTTAATGCCCCACTCTTATCAGTATCAACAGCCTGGAACCAGTAATAGAGTTGTGGATCTGCTCCTGGCGGTGGCTGTGGTGGTGCTCCACCAGTAGGTCCAGAATGTGGTGGTCCAGTAAGTCCAGAATGTTGTTGTGGTGGTGGTGGGCGAGCCACAGCTAATCAATGAAAAAAAGTTACAGTTTTTAAAAATGCCCCCACATATATGGAGAAATTAAACACTGTCGGAATTAAACGAGGTAACTAACCCTGTTGATGTTGCGGTGGAGGCGATTGATAAGATTGAGGTGGTGGTCCTTGTTGTCCATAGTAACCCTGTGGAGGAGGTGCTGCTCCGTAGTTTGGAGGCGGTGCACCATACCCACCGCCACCTTGTTGTGGTGGAGGTCTATAGCCGCTTGCTTGATTATAGTTGTAGCCACTTGACATTATTCAAGACTAGATACAAAGTAAAAATCAATATTGAAAAGCTATAGTTGCGTTGGTGACACCGTAAACAAGAAGCATGTGCCATATGTAGCCATTCAAATTATAAACTTTCTTGCAATCAAAAAAAAAAAAAAAAAATGTCTAACTATACTAACCAAGATATAACCTATGTTTACGATACGTCTTTAAAACTAGTCAAACGATGTACCAGCCTGAAAAAACTCTGTAGGTTCTTGGGCGTGCAACCAAACCATGCATTTAATCAGGTGGTGAAATTAATAAATTCCGGGAGATTGTACGAATACAAATATTATTTGTGCACTGGTTCGAGTATTGTTCCTACCTTGCAAAAAGGAATAGATACAAGTGAGTGTTCAAAGTATTATGACAGACTTCACATTTACCATGTGGTTTCACAATAAATTATTTTTTTAAAATGGGATATTATAGCTAGAGTAGAGCTATTTTCAAATAATCCTTGCACAGTATACGTTTACGATCGAGCATGCTACCATCAAATATCCAAATACAATACAAAACTTGAAGCAGCACAAGCTTTTGAATGTTCAGTCAATGAACTCGAAAGTTTTATTGATAAATATATATTGTTCAAAAATAAATATTTCTTAACAAGTAAATCGCTCTCTCCAGATTATCAAAGTGAGTAAACTTTTACTTAAACAATAAATAAATCTCTGTATTCTTAAAAATGTGTGATCGGATTTCTTTCTGATGATATCAAGAAAAAACCCAGGACGATTCAGATGCAGATGACGCCTCAAGCGGTAGCGATGATAGTTCTAAAAGTGATGATGAAAGTGACGATGAACCTCCTTTTCGGGAGACTGATTTTCAGGAACCTGATGGATTTCGAAATTGTCGAGATTTTCCAGCTCTTGTTGAGAGATCAAAAAGATATAAAAAAGGCAAACCTTGCAAAATTATCGGATTGGATGCACTGGGCCAAGAATACGCAAGTAAAACCGTAACATATTATCGTTTGAAAAAGTATGGAGAAGATTGTTATTCGAAAAAGACATGTGGGGAAGAAATGAAAACACTTGTCGAAGAAGACAATTCGGGGCCTTTAGATCTTCCACCTTTAGTAAGAATTTCTTAATTTTTATTGTTAGTGGTCAAATTTTTTCATATTTCCAATGAATTTATATTAGGAACTCTTGGAAGCAATTAATAAATTTGCGGCAGATCATTTCAAAAAAAATGATTTAAAAGATATGTTTGGAAAAATGAATGGTACTGCGTTAGTAGCAATAGGTAAGAATAAATCATCAGCTTTTAATACAATTTGTCCACGCATTAATCTTTTATTTTTTTAGGAATTATTATACAAGAATATGTGCGAAATATTATGCTAAAACCACCTGAATGAATAGCAAACATTAATGAAGATTACAATTTTCTGAAAAAAGTAAATTACATATTTATTTACAAAAAAATTCTGTCGAGAAAATTTTTTTGGAGGAATTATCCTGATTTCACCAAAAAATGATAATTTTTAACATTAAAAAAAAAAATTAAAAAATTAAAGATTAGCTAAAAATAATAATAATTTTGGATATGAGAAAAATCTAAAAATTCTAAGATTCGCCACTAATAGCATCTTTAAGCGTGCTTATAACCAAATAAAAGTCTAAACCCAAAATAATAAAACTAATTACACTAGCAACAATGGTAAGCCATAAAGGATTCGAAAAGTCAATAAATTGCGATTGTTCAAAAAGGACGGAAGATGCTGTTTCAATATTAGATGAAGGTGTGATAATAGTTGGATTGTTGTTATTGTTGTCATTATCAAGTGATGATTTTTCTGTTTCAGTTATGTTAACATTTTGTTGATGAATTCTTCGTGAATCTATTTTCATAATTTTCTTACTACTAGTAAAATACACTAATGGAATTACTGCGAAAGGTAATTGTATACTGAGAGCAACCTGACTAGCTACTAGCATCCCATTAAGACCACTACTACCTCTGGTTATCGCAATAGTCAAGGCTGGGATGATTGCCAGACCACGTGTCACTAGCCTTCTTAACCATGGACGTAACTTTAATCCGAGAAATCCCTCCATTACTATTTGTCCAGCCATAGTACCAGTAAGTGTCGAACTCTGTCCAGCAATAAGCAATGCGAATCCAAACATAAAACCAGCTATTGGTCCGAGGTATTTACGGATAAGATTATATGCGTCGAAAAGATCAGCTACGCTTCCCACCTCATTCGAAGTATAATAGAAATTGGCCGCGGAAACTATCAGAATAGCGGAATTAACAAAAAGTGCAAAGGCTAAAGCGACTGTCGAGTCCCATATCGAAAGTCTCATTATTCGCTGAATGCATTCCTTAAATAATCTTTTCGAAGATGATATTTTGAAGTCGCCAGCTTCGAGTGCCTCTTGCCACTCTTCGGCTAATTTCGCTTGATCACGATGCTTTCGTGCTTGAACCAGATGCGAGTGTAGGTATAAGTTATGCGGCATCACGGTAGCGCCAATAATGCCAATTGAGACGTACAATTGTTCATTATTTGTGAATATTCCCGAACTTGGTAAAAAACCCTTCAGTACCATAATCGAGTCAGGTTTGGAATATATCAATTCGGAAATAAAACAAATTCCTACAGCAGCTACTAGGAACATCACTAGCCCTTCCAATATTCGTGCTGCCTTCATACTATTGTCTTTATAGATTAAAAGAACGATCATCACATCGCATGCCGTTATTGACACACCCCATGGAAGAGGTAAATTAAAGAGAAGGTTAAGAGCAATTGCACTCCCGATGACCTCGGCAAGATCGCATGCAATAATAGCGAGTTCACACAAAATGTATAATACGAGGTTGCACCATCGAGGGAAAGAATAACGACATGCTCGAGCAAGGTCTGTGATCGCGTAATAATTATTATTATCACATGGGAATATTTAATGCCTGAATTAATTAACATACGGATATAATTTCTTGATGCTTACCCATGCCAGTTACAACACCCAACTTTATCGCCAAACTTTGTAATAACATTGCCATGAAATTGGAGATTAGGATAATAAAGAGGAGTGAATATCCAAACTGAGAACCTCCTATTGGATTAGCAGATTTGCCGATGAATTTAATAATGCATATCTAATTAAGTCAATTATTAGATAAAACTAACCTTGGAGATCCGTAGCCCAATTACCCGGGTCAAAATAACCGACGGAGATCACTGCGAAAATATAATAGGAAAGGAAATGCGTGGGAATACGGAAAAAAAATTACATTCGATTGATTCAAGAAAAATAATTACAATATCCAGGACCAACGAATCCCAAAAATCTTTTAAAGTTGACCCAACACTGAGAAATTAAATGCTTTAAAAATGGTGAATTATCATCCTTTGTGTCGGAAGTGTGTTTCGAAAAGTTTAAAAATTCCCGTTTTACTGTCTCTATCGTGTTATGAGGTGGTGTCGATATTGTCGTTGAATTCTCAGTGGTAGGAGCATTCATTTTTGTCCAAGCTTAAAGAGTTCGTGGGTAAATGGCACTTTTTATATTGAGCTTCTATTTTATAGAGAAAATAGTCGCACAACAGCAAGCAATACTAGTATAATAGTTATTTCCTAAAATTCATAATGTATACTTTTTAAAAATTTATTTCGAGAAACTTTATTTTACCATTGATTTATTTAAGGAAATTATTAACCTTCGTGCAGTGTTATTAATAGTGCTGCAGCAGCACTTAAAAGAGACAATACCCACCGACAGATCACACACACATACACAAACACAATAAAATCAAAGAAAAAAACAAAGTGTCGTATGTGTTTGTATATGTATGCGTGAATTTCTTATGAATAATAATAAAAAGGGTTGTTTGTGCAGGACGTGTTTCCTCGCTAATTCAAAAGGAAAAGCACATAGAGCTTAAAGATTTCAATAAAAGAGAGGTGTCAACAAAACGAAAGAAACTCTGTTAGTAAAAGTTTACACTTCCTGAGAACATGGCAAGATGTATACACCGTTTCAAATTTCTATGGATCGGGAAAAGAAAAAATTCGGAAAAGTTCGGAATAGAATGTGTACAGATTTATCGCCTAACTGCATAAATAAACATTTATAAATTGGGGTGCGGGGGTCATGATGACACATTGTTTCCATTTTTTTTCATTCTTTTCATCGCGTGTCAAATCGCAAAGTTCTAGTTCTGTCTAGTGTTTTTTTTTAAATGAAGGTCCCTTAAGAATTCATACAGTACCCGGTTCATGCACATCACAATCCAATAAGAATGCGCAAATTTTAGCCAAAAAAAGCACTATTTAATTTTTTCAGAATCCTAATTCTAATGTGAGCCCGGTTTCATATAATTAGTTACTAATATTTTTTGCTAATATAAAACAATCCAGTTAAAAAATCAATGCTGGAGAGATTATTAGAAAAATCTTGATTTTTTTAATTACATATAGATTAAATTCACATTTAAAAATAGAATGCTGAATGAAAATCCTAATTTTTTTCTAAAAAAATTGCATATTAAATGGATTTTAATCAGTTTTTATTAGAAAAAAAATCAAATATTTTCTGAATTTAATGAAATTATCATATTTCAATTATAAAAATTAAAAACTGATTAATATTCATTTTTATTTTGATTATATTTAATAAAAACTTAATAAATATTTATTTTATTTATAAAATAAATTCTTATTTATAATATATATTTAATATTATTTTACTTTTCTTAAGCCTATAAATTTATATTTTAATTTAGCAAATGAAGAAGATAAAGAGAAGAGATATGATGATAAAGAAAACATATAATATAATATCAAAAAATATGACAAACTATTATCAAAGCTTTTATTAGCAATATGTAAAATATATCTATCTTGAAAGGCTCGGAAAAAGAAATATAAAAAATCAAATAATTAGTTTTCATCTTTATAATATTTGCATTATAACATAAATAATCTAATAATTTCTAATTCTTTCTTAGATCCTAAAAGTAAGTTTGAAGGCTTGAATAATTCAATAATTAATATACTTAGATAAGAGAGTGATAAGTCATCTAATTTTATAATTCAGAATAATTTCAAATATATTATCAAGTTATTAGAATAGTTTATAGATATGTTAATTAGTATGAAAAATAAAGATAATAAAATTATTATAATTATTAGAAATTTTATATATATCAATAATAGTAAATCTGAACTAATACTATTTTTAAAAATATCAAATATTTGAAAGATTCAAGATATTCTTGATCTAAATAATAATTAATTTTATATAAAAATTCATAATAAGTCTTATATTATTCTAAATTTAATAAAAATTTAATAGTAAAAAAACTATTAAAAGATATTGTTACCTTTTTGATGCGAGTTCTGAGTAGGGGCGAGTATTAAATCTAATATTACAAAAATATGTGACAAAAGTGATCACGTGTTTAAAATGATGTTTGGGAGAGTCTTTAAAAGATTTATTAACAAGAAGATGTCTACTATTATTTCAAAGTTATTCTAAAGGTAGGTAACGATAGTGTTCTTGTTATAACTAGCTAGAATGTAGTCCAATTCCAATATGTAATTTCAAGACAGATATAATATTCAGTTTATTAACAAGATGAATTAATAGATCTTAATCAAGATCTATTCTACAAG